AAGATATAATAGTCTTTTATAATTGAACTTTTGTTAACTTGGAAAAAGACAATAACTAACCCGTACTACATGGGATTTTGAAATATTTTCTTGGATTTTCAATATTCTCAGTTTGCAATGATTTTATAATTCAGAAAATATTTAATAAAATATTCGCAACATTCAAATTCTCCTGGACAAAACTTTCAGAACAATATATTCATTGAATATTTGGAAGGTAGATATTACAAAAACTTGCCATTTCACATGTGCTAAACAAATTCATTGTACATGAAGATATTCTAATACAAATCAATTTTTGAAGGATCTTTGATTAAATCAAAGACACTATCTCTCTGCAGGTACACTCTTACATGTTGTATTATGACTTTGAATATATTTAGACTGTATAATTTTAAAGAAATAAAGTTGCTGATGTACCATGTGCTTCAAAGATTTTGCTGCACAGAGATTTTATTTCAATATGACCATTTGGATCATTAGTGTTAATACTCAACTAGACAAGTTAGAACTTTCTCTAAACTTGTGCTGCATGACTCTTCCTTTTGGCCTAAACTTACTTTAAAAAGGCTTCTGAACATTCCAAGTTCAGCAGTTGATTGGATTATAGTTTTCACATATTCTTTAATACGTTTTGGAAGTGAGCCCCTCACCATATCAATGTACATCCAAACCCACACTTAACTTCGAAATGCACATGAGTGAAAAATATCTGTATACAGTTATATAGATAGATAGATAGATAGATAATTTTTTTTCATTCAAAACACACACACACAAAAAGAAAGAAATAAAGAAGAAGAAGAAGATATGATAGAATTCCTCCATTGCCCACACAACAACAATGGCCTTCAATGACTTCATAGAAAAGGGAGAGAGAAAGAGAGAACACACAGTGACAAATTGGGATGATTCCCCTCCCTACACATGAGCAATTCCATCATATTGATAATACATGCACATCTATTTGCCAATGCACCCACAAAAACACACCCACACACCCACACACACCATGGGGACTGACTGAAGGACGGAGGGAGGAAGGCTACAGCACTTTGTACAGCAGGGCCAAGACTTGTAAGCCCCCCCTAAAGCCGCGTCCCACATTCTTAGACCCCCCCACCCTCCTAGTTACCGCGGGTTCACCGAGGAGGAGGAGGAGGAGGAGGAAGCCCCATGACTGAGGGATGCCTATACCCACGCCCGGAAGAAGGTGGGTGGTGATAAGTCTCGGAACCCAAACCCGTGCGTCGATGGGTGGTGATAAGTCTCGGAACCCAAACCCGTGCGTCGATGGGTGGTGGGGACGACGGGCAGTAGTCGCGTGCGTGAGCCGCGGGGGTCGTGTCACAGACGGCAAAGCAAAGCATCATCGAGCCAGCCTGCGATCGAAAGAAGGAAGACTCCGTGATGAGAGTGAGAGAGAAAGGTGAGGAGAGTGAGTGTAGGAGGAGAGGGAGGAAGAGAGGGTCCCGGAGCAGCCAGTAGCAGCAAGTGGCGTAACGAAACCAAGGGGGGGAGAGGGGGTATTGGCCTCGTAGGCTCCGCCAGCTTTCTTTTGTCAGTGGTCCATCGTTGGGGGTGGTGTGCTTTGAATGTAAGACATCGCTCGGCACTGCGATCGAAGTCCACTTATTCCACGGAACGTGTCCTTCAGTCAGTTCTCCTTTTCCATCCCTCCTCACCCCCCCTGTTGCTAGCACTGGATGAATGAGAGCGTGAAAAATACCGGAGAAAAAGAGGAGGAAGGAGCAAGCAAGCTGTTTCTTCTTAGGAGTTTCACCAGGCTACGTCGACACAAGTTCGTTCACATAAATTGGACCTTTGCAAGGTCTGCAAAGTGCTCCACGCGAGTCGCATTTGTGGCTACATGTGCAGTTTTTTTCTTCTTGTTCCGGGTTTGCTGATTTTTTCCCCCCTTTCCTTTGTCCCTTTTATCCAGGTTTCCCAATTCAGCGGGACCCTTCTGTGCATTTTTTTTTTTTTGAGAACGCCCAAAAAGCAAGGGGCAGGGTGTAATTGTTAGTGGCCTGTTATAATATTGTGTGATCATCCGGTGTTAAGCCGGCTATGTGGCGTGAAAAAGGCGAGCAATCCTTTTCATTCGTGCCAAAAAGAATTCAGGGGACTAAGTTTTTCTATTCCTGGCGACAGGTGGGAGTCTTATTATCATAGAATATTCTCTAAAATTCTCTGTTGAACAGGAAGTGGAACTGCCTCACGAATTTCTGCGTCCATACAGAGTTACGTGACTGGCCCAAATAGAATATATCCACTTTTCACTTCTTTGAAAATCAAAATCGAAAAAAGAGGTGGTGACTCAAAGATTTTATTACAGGAAATCAACAAATAATTGTCTTCTAGACCTCGCCGTAGGGTTGTACTATTTACCGTAGCTCCTGATACAGTCGACACCGCGTCCAAAAGACCTCACATAGTCTGCGTTATCCGCTTTTCCCTCTGCAGCTACACACAAATCTGCAGCCATTAGAAGACATTAGAAGCAAGTGGCGCCACAATTCCATCAACTCCACAGCAGATCGGGAGCCCTTTCAAACCTGTTTAAACACCGCCTTGAATGCTGCCTGACGATACCCGGGAGCTCTGACAGCGCACCTCTACAGTTACGGCCCCAGATCAGATTCTACACAATTAAATAATTCGATTCACCGCTCATCTTTAGCCTGGGCTTCCCAGGTTACAGGCCCTCGGCGCCCAAGAATAGCCAATCGCCTTCTTACTTTGCCCCCGACATTTCCTGCAGTAACTGGATAAAGCCGTGGTTCAATGAATGGATTTGTAGACTGGGGCCGATCATTGCATGGAGTCATGGCCACTTTCAGATCCCAGAGATCACCATGTTGGCTTCTGCTTGTGAGGATCGCAACTTGATGAATAGTAACAAACAAGAAACTCGAAAAAATCTCTTGCGTCCGCAGGCTTTGCATGTGACAAGGCCGGTTCCAGCAGTGACATACCACCGATAGGGAATGAATGGATGCTTCATCAAGATCCTGGAACCTGGTCCATTGTCTACTTGCTCTGCCAGTTTAGTCCTGCACATGTTAACGCTAACTTGGCACCTTCAACTGAATCATTGAACTATCTTTCTGCATTTGTCGCACCACCTAGACTGTAGTTTTCTAATCTGATCGCGAGTCTATGTCGGTGTTGTGAGAGGGAGTGGGGTTCGTAGCATTTTGGTGGTGTCAAGGTGATATTCTAAACGTGGTCTCGCGGGTGCAAGTAGTGGTGTCGATCATGGGAGCCGACGGGGCTGAGGAGCGGGGATGCACTTGCGTCTGTACCGGAGGCGGAGGAGAAGGAGGATTGGTGGGTTATGGAGCAACGGGGATGGGGATGAAGTGCGAGCCATGCCTGCAGTTTCTGAGGCAGTGTCCCCCGAAGAAGCGGTTCCGAGAGCTTTGCAAGCTACGTCCCATTATTGTAAAGCCCGCGAGGAGTGGCGCCGTTGCGCTGGATCGTTTGGTGGAGGTTGCGTTATCGCCAACTAAGCTCGGTCCGGCTTTAAGTTGTGACTCCAGGGAAGCGCTCGCCCAAGTGGGTTGCGCTCGCCCAGACGCCAAGAGCCGTCCTAGATTTGGCGGAAGTGAACTAGGCACATGTGGATCAGACGATAGAGCTGCGGGAGCAATAGATGTCTACGACAAGGGGACGTGCAGTAGAGGCAACGAGATACACAGACAGACTGCGGAGCCTTCAAGCGACCAAGCGAAACTTGGCTCACGCTTTAAGAATCCGTTTCACTCGATAGAGACCGCGCAGAAGCTAAAAAAGTTGTCATCGTTAAACGAAGTGGTGCAAGAGAGGAGGAGGAGGTCACCGCCTGTGAATGTCACTGATCACTCCAGAAGGTTTACCCCAAGGATCAAGTCGCTAGTTGACATCACGTGTTAGACCACTAACCGACTTGGATAGACTGCAAATTTTTCTCCGATGACGCAGTGAGCGCTGTGTCAGGGCAGCTTCGAGATGAGTATCGTCACCACGATCGTCAGAATTGGATGAAATAATTCGAATTTGGTAGCGCCCGCAGGAGCCTTAACCAATTGCACCCATGTTGGATCCGCTTCCCACGTGTTATGAGCGTGTCTGTGACTGGGCTCCTTGGAGGTTGCACTGTGCCATGGTCATGACTCATTATGGTAGAATCGGAGGATTGAACCATCGAACAATCAAGAGTTAGCAGAAAGCTGGGGCCTCCTCCAGGCTTCCAGTTTCTGTCTGAGCGGCTGGTTACTAGCTCTTCCGGTCCAAACGGGCGGTTCGATTTCAGGATTTCAGATCGAGGATGCCTCGACGGAAACCTCAAAGTAGACACAGTGCTAGTTTCACCTTGACGAAGTATTCATACTTTTCTGAGTCCTCTATTGTATGAGGAATTGGGCTGTCTTGACATGGCTACAAGCTCATCGATCAATGATATGAACTGGCAACCTGTGTGAGGACCTGCAAGTTATGGAATGCACAGCATGGATCAGCGGTGGTGCCAAAGCGCGAGGAATGCTTTTCAAGATCAGGTTACCTTACAACTGGAACTTATCAACGTGTAGAAACTAGGGCACAGATCGCACTCGGAGACGTAGGGGTACATGTGTGGCAAGGGGAAGAAGATAATAGGTCCTATCTGGTGGTGAAATCCGTGTTGAATCGCACTGAAATCCTGCTGCTGACGGACAAGCAATGTATATACGCAGTTCAGGGTATATAGGCTACTCGACTGATAGCACTCTCATCTCTATTGATCTGGAGGCAATCTGCTGATTTGGAGATCGTCCATACCAGAATCCTTTTAAAAAGATACTTACGTTTGCAGAAGCTGCCGTGTGGGTGTGCTGTGTAATGAATATTTTTTCGTCCTTAAGTTGTGTAAGATGCTTCTTCCGCTGCATTCTCGACCCGGTTCCAGATCCTCCGCTTGTCTTCCGCTTGAAGGGACCTCGACAATTATCAATGTAATGATATTCACCAACGTCGCGGAATTTGAATCAGTTACTTTATTATAAATTACATACCTGTTGATGACTCACCTCCAGTTCATCTCTTATGAGCTGTGCGCATATCTTGAGATACTAATGCTAATAGCTAACACAATGAAGAGCGCTCTGGACGCAGCTGATCGACTAATTCTCCCGGATGATACTAACGTACACTCATCACAACAGTCCTTAAGGTGTTTCACCCTCAAAACCCTCTAATTCATCTTCCAAAAATCATAAAATAAAGCTTTAAAAAATGTACTGACAGCCAATCCAGACTTCACACACAGGTATTGAGCCGACTGTGTTCGACTCCTTGTTGCGAGGTTTAATGTCCCGGAACAACAGCCGATTATTTCCGTGTAACATTGAAGTCTTTGTTAACATCGTGGCTGTGAGCATCAGCCACGTTTGTCACCCCTTGATCCTGATACATAGTCTTCAAGCTCCATGAGCACCTACTAGCAGCATCTACACTGTGAATGTTTAGAGTCTGCACAATTCTTCGAATCCAGGAATTTCTTTCGTTGCATTTCTCCCCCAAGACGCTGTATTAATGCTTTCCTCATTTCTTGCCTTCTTGCGTTGGCCTAGAACATTTTAAACGATTGGGTTCTTAATAACACCCTCAGTTGAACATTTAGAGCCTCAGAAGGTTGGTTGACGTAATGTTATGCCATGAGGTTAATAACTATAGATTGGTTGGTAGAAACTAACCGAGGAAACAGCAAGAACTATCTCGCTTGTACTTTTATTAGCTTCGCAGCTTTGAGGCTTAATCCCTTTTTCAGAAGGCCCAGAGCTTCGTGAAGACATGGTTTCGGAGCCCACGTTCAACCACCCAGCTCCTGGTCTGTAGAGAAAATTGGCATACCCCCTAGCACTCTGCAATTGGCATCGCATTCAGAGAAACAGGGTTACGAAAGGTATCAATCTTCTCAATCAAGTAAATGTCGCATAAATGTCATAAGTTAACTGATTTTAAAATAAAAACAGAGGTAAGAGATATCTATTTGCCTCTTCAACTTCCTCAAAGATGGGATAGTTGGCAATAGATTGAGAGCCAACTTTTGAACTTAGTGGCGAGGTCTTGGCACGGTCTCCATCTATAAGACCTTCCAAATGCCTGACTGACATCCCTTGCTCCGTCATTATTGCTATGCCACGCGAAGTTGGTGAGTCAACTATTTGCAAGTCTAGGAATCAATTCTTCCATCTTCTGAAGCAGATATTTTCGAAGCAATGCCCCTTCTCAAAAGAGTAGCTGAAGTAAGGATAATGGCTGTCACTCTTTCTATGAGAATGAGCACATGAGATTTTAGCACTGTTTGGCAGGGAGTACCGTATTTTAGTTTGTAATGTATCGCAAGTCACCTTTTTTCTGTGGAAACCGGCGATCCTGATGCTTCTGATTTTCAACTTGGAGTAATGAGCCCTCGTGACTCTCAGCTTTTTGCCAGTGATCACCCGCAGGTCTCTGAACATCTAGCACGACATCAGCTTCAAAATAATGCATGATCTGAACCGAAATTGACAAGCTTATATACTGAGAAATGAGTTACAACAAAGAAAATTAGTACTAAGGAAGGAGACCTTAACGTCAACTATTACAAGAGGTCTTAAACAGGCTCCCATATCGCGTACCCATCATGACGATCAAGACTCTTAGAAGAAGTAAATGAGAGAAAGAACACTAACATCGGGACCCTTCAGTGTTCCAAGCCTCCAATCTTGAAACAAAACCACCTTTCTGTAGACAGCAGTCACGTAATTTAGTATGTTATCATGTAACGTACATCGCAAGAAAGAATACATTTCTCATGCATGAGTTATTACTTACTGTGTCGATACTGTACAATCAGTGTTCAATTAATACATCAAAAATGCAAAAAAATCCAAATATATATTGTTGCAGTAAAAAACATTTAAGCAAACAAGCCCAACTTTCAATGGATCTCATGTAACAAATCGAAATGTCAGATTCGGGTTAAATTGGGAGGTCTTTAACTTTGGCATGATGAGTCTCGGCTCGGTGGATTCACTCACTTCCGTGGTCGCAAATCCACTTTGCTCTTCCCTCAAGTTATTCATTACTTCTGAATGTGCGGGCTGCGCATTGTTGTTGCCACCTGTATCTGATTTTTTACCGACTTTTAAAATGCCTTTCTTAAATGAACGCTCCGTCACCAATGCAGAAAGTCCATTCTGGTGGACATGTGAAGTGCTCAAACGTGATTTCTGGGCCATCTCTATGATAGGAACTTCAGCCTTCGAGGTTGTCCTGCTGGTGGCTTGAGTTCCGACATCCCTAGACTGCAATGGCTGAGTGATGTTCCGCGTCTTCGGTTGCATTGACACTGCGGTTCGACCTATCCTTGAAGTCACGGAAGATTGCAGACGTATCCTTCTGGGAATCTCAACCTCGGATTTCTTCTTTCTTTCTGGTACTTGCGGACTTCCACACCATTCCACATACTGAAGCGTATCAATGATTATATAGATTATCAATAATGGGCAAAATTGACCATGAGATTATTTAGCTGCAGAATATTTTTCACATCAGATGTAATTGTGCTCTCGCCAGTGTGCATCGAGTTGTCATTAAATAGTGGAATGTACCGATCTTTTAACAGGTCCACCTGAATTGGCTCTCTCATGGTCACCTGCACATGGCACGCTACTCATGCTGAAGCTCCCGGAAACCACATTTTTCAAGCTGCGCATTAGGAGAAATTTCTTTCATAGAACTGATTAATTTGTTTTATAATGTCTACTGAAGGGCCCCGATAGCCACGCCCTACGAAACCAACTTGGATTCAAGGTGAAAATGATTCTAACCTGATGTATCTTTGAAGGTGTCTTGATCGAGTAATTCCAACCAGGTTGATTGTTGCCCGGCTGAGCCACCACATTCCTTTCTGAGCTTTAACATGAGTTAAGAAACATCAACCATGTGTGAACAGTAATCAATTTTTCAAATCTAGCTGCACTTATTACACGAACGTAGCATGAATTGAGCACAATCGAATATCATCAGAAGAGTGAGCATGGCACCTTTCAAACAAGAGGAGGAACGATGTGTTTGTTGCAAACATTTCTGTGGTTGCGATTGCCGTATCGTATCAGATGGACTGTGGATATCTTTTCTACTCCGTGCCTTCTTAGGACTTCGCTTTGCAACCTTATGTTCTGGTGAGTTGTGAGCATCCTTCTTTGAAAGTGTCTTCCGGCTCTTCTTCTTAGTAACCTTTTCTCTGTCTTGCACATTGTTACTCCCCTCGGCCATCATGATCTACATCTTTCGCATGCATTCGTTAGCATATCTGCAGAATAAAATAAATCTTCATGACTTGTTTTGTGTCGTTGGAATCATTCAAAATCGTCACAGGAACAAGCCATGAACTGAATGAAGTTTGGGACCAGAGAGTTTGGCTTTGTCAGACCAGCTTGAAAATATCGACTGATACAATTATCGTGACACAAATCAGACTAACCTGTTCACCATTTGTCATGATAGGCAATGAACGATGGTCGACTGAAAACCCTCACTAGAACTATTTGAGACTTTTTTACACCAATTTGACCTACGATTCACAGCCGAGAAATCTAAATTAGTACTTCATAACGGTGGTTCACCAGGGTCGCGCGACTTATAGTCGGTTTACTAATATTAAACAATTTCATATTCTCACAAAACCTCAAAATGTTGACCAAGAGTATTCAGGAATTGGAATTGTTGTGTACACACATGTATGGCAGCACATCGCTTGTGTCCTTACTGTAAAGGTGGAAGGGCGCACATTATGCGACGACAAACAAACCACGCGAACTCTGACCACCGGCAATTGATAATTACAGCTGATATATCTACGGTCAGGTATCTTCTCACACATGCATCCATGCCGCGACAATAGAGTTGTGCGCACGATATTCCTTCTCGAATCAGTCAAATGTGGACCCTAACTTGAGCACAAGAAACATGACCATGCTCTCACGGACATCAACAAACCAGAGCGGAATAACTTACCATGGACGCTGAGGAAACATGGACCATTTTATGTTGGTAATTGGAACATGCATGTCGCCAGGAAGCTATCGTGTCACTATTAGCCGCCTGCTCTTACCCCGCATGGCTTCCAAATGACAGTGATGCAGTAGTGAAGACGAAGGGACAACAACGAAGGACTGAAAGGGGCGGTGGAGATATGAAGGACACTAGTTGCAATGACGATGCATGTCCACTACTATCCGTTAAGTGTCTGTTCAAAGATGGGGGGGTTACTTTCCTTCACACCCCTAATATACAATCGATTGAATCCCCAGGTTCTCTTCCTCTGTTCCATTCCATGCACCACAACTTGATCATCCAATAAGATAAATGAGATCACTTGCGGATGCTGAATGTCAGGATACACTGGCTCTGTGCGTTTAGATTATACGTTGTTATACTACACTGCCGGAAGTCTTCTTAATTCTAATGTGTATCTCTCGAGTTAAATTCGTCCTTCGTCTCCAAGCGAATGTTGACTATTCGAGGAGTGCAGACGCAGATTTTATCTTTGTTAATAAGGTCAATCAGTTCGTCGTACACCTCATTGATGCCGTAATTCAAACCCGCACTTGCGTACAGTGAACTTCCACCTAACGCTTCAAGGAGTTTTTCTTATCCACCGTGTGAGGGGGTATAATTGGTCCATTTCAGGAAGTTGGATCAAAGTCTGAAAAACGTAGAATGAGCACCTGAGAGTTCAAAACCGTGAAAATCTAAATTGAGAGTCGACTAGCCCTCATAAATACATTCTCCATGTACATGGGAAGAGCAGCTACAATAAAACCCTGTTCACGATGTTCATAATAGAAAAAGGTACGCATGAGGTTTTTCCGTCAAGAATCAACGGGACTCCAACTACACGATCGTAGCCTCTAGTCCTGACCGACGTTGTAGACTGCGCTAATCCTCAATGAGTTTCCCGTGAAGCTCTGAAATTCAGTCGTTGTGAAGCCAAAAATAGTTCGAAAAGTGCACTTCCACTGATAGAATAGTTCCAGTAAAAACATGGTCAAGACAGTGCAGGTATATATGTTACAAAACGTCAGACAAGATGTTCCATTACCTAGCTTGAACCTAGATTTTGAGAGCGTAAACAAATAACTGAATACACAGGGACTGCCAGTTTCCAGCAGTAATCTGAACTTGAGGATAAGGTTTCGTATATCGCAACAAAGCCAAGACTTGTAATGATAGCCAATGTTGGAATACTATATGCTACTAGGATGGACGAGAAACATTGATAAATAACTACCTGCTATTTGAAACAACCGTAAAATGCACGACTCGAAGATAGCTTCTTGTAGCTATACGACTTCAAGGTGCCTTACAATGATTGAGACAATGCATAGCAATGCAAGGAACATCTGTAATTGTACAGCTATTTACACGTCGATGTTTACTCCCATGGGAGCCAATCAGAAGTAGGCTACATTTCTAAAAACATTTAGGCGATCAATTTGAGAATAAGGCAGCACGAGGTCCACACAGCCATAGAAGCAGCCCGAATCACCACAGGATGCTTATATATCCTGTAAATCACACACCCAAATACAGCAACTCATTCAGTCAAACCTTTGATGCAAATGAAAGAAGTTAACTGCACAAATAGTATCCAAAGTGAAAGGAACTGCCAGATTCAAAAGGGAAGGAACTTACGACAGTGCTGTAGCGCCCCATGAACTAGCCGTATAGAGGAACTTCCCAGTGGTCCACAACGAATGCAGCCTCCCTTTCTTTTCCACTTTAGTGAAGGCTTGTGTCATTGCTATTTGAATGCCCAACGAACTACAAAGTTAGTAGAAGTAAAGCTTCACACGATCAGCTTGGAAAAGCGCGTGAACTATGATGTACTCATCACCAATTGTGTTTCGCCACTGAACGAAATAACTACTGCATAGACTTCCAGTTCCCTTTCCACAAGAATTTGTGTGAAAAATAGCAGAGATTTACACAACATTTACAAATGGATCTCTCCAGAATCATCAATCTAGACGTTACCCCCAGCGAAGTTATCTTCATCTTTCCCTTCTATTAGTTACAAATTGGGATTTTATAAAAGATATTTCTTCTATTGTATTTAAAACATAAATATGAACTATTTATTTAAATTTTTTAAAATATGGGTTCTCTCTCAGTCACTGCCCAGTTTTCAAGATATATGCTGAACTTTGAGGATTCATCGAATCAAACTTTCAACAAAAAATATTAATTCAGTCAAGCAAATTACTTCCATACATGAACAAGATTCTGCATTAAATAAAATTCAAGAATACTGGTAGGAGTCACCTTGTTGCAGCTCCTTCGGAGTAATAGTCTGACAAACAAAAGATTAAAAAAAGAAAAAAAGGACAAATGTTAGAACCCATCACAACACTAGCCGTATTTCACAGGTCTGTCAAAAGAATGGACAAGTTTTACTATCTATAAGAGGAGCAGGAAATACCTTCGCATGAGGAATTGATGATATATACCGAGCTATAAAACTGGCAATACTATCTACGATATCCACCTGGTTAACCAGAACATAGCCATCAGCTCCGAAGCCATCTTGCACCTCCTCAGTACCTCTACTCACGTCGTTCTTAGACAGCCACAACCACCAGTTCGGATCATTTACATCAACCTTCACATTTATTCCATCTGCGCAAAAAGATCCAAAAGTCTCCAACAGTCACTTCACACATCTCTTTAAATCAACTTCCACAAACATAAGGACGCCCTAAAACCACGACTGTCCACAATTCTGTGCCAAAGACAAACCAATGTATTACATCGCAATTGGAAATACCTATGGTCGTCGAGACCGTGGTATCCTTACACGGCGAGTCGCCATCCCATTCAATTAGTTTCAGCTTATACAGAAATTCAGGTGAAGCAACCCTCAACTTCAATTCCTCATAAATCTGTAACCCCGTACAGTGCCATACTCTTCATGGTGCCCATTCAAGACAACAAAAAAACAAATAAATAAATAAATAAAGTTTACAAAAGGCTACCAATCCTCACAGGAACCGCTAAACTGCAAAAATTCCCTCATGGCTTCCCTCCAGTCAATTAAATCTTACAGCAACGGAACAATCGACGGAAACTCCCCCCGCCTCCATTTTCTGCTTGTGCAATTGCTGAAACGTCTGCTCATACATATGGATAATGGCCCGCAGCCGCATGCTCTCTCTCCGTTGAATATCCAAATCACTCTCCACCTCTGCCCAGTCCCACTCCATATCCACCTCCTTCTTCAATTGCCGCTCGTGGCGGCACTCCCAGGTCTCCGCCAGGGCCTCCGCGATCTCCCCTACCGCAACCACGGTCTCCACAGCCTCCACGCCATGAGCCCCTACCATGTACCCTTCTCCTTCCCACTCAATGCTTGCTTCTCTAACCCTCCTAACTAACCCTCCTCCTCCTCCTTCTTCTTCTTCTTCTTCCCCTCTACCACCTCAACCCCATTCCCCAACCCGGAAATCGACGCCACCGCCTCTTCAACTCTTCCTCCAAGCACACAAACATCACGCCATCCGTGCCATGGCTTGCTTGCTTGCTTCCAATTCTGCGCTGCCTTGCCTGCTGGATCATCGTCGGGCAGGCAAAGCATCGCCTCCGTCGAGGAATTGCTTCCCGATGTCGTTGCCTTCACGTTCCCCACCTCAAGCACCCGCCGCGTCCCTCCGCATTATTCATCCATCGTTTGGATGATGTTTTCGATGCAAACCAATTTGTGTGGATGGATGAATGGTTGGGTGTTTTTTTTTCTGTGTGAGAGGGTATTTAGGGGATGAGGGCAGATGCCATAACTTTTGGATTTTTTGATTGGTTCAACTTGAGAAGCGTCACTTAGTTGGATGAATACTTAAAAAAAATTATCAAAAAAAAGTTTTAAAAGTAAAAGATTGGGTAAAATGTATTCTTTGCTTTTTAGGGTATGAATGGAGTTGTCTCCTAGAAATTTCTCTTGGCCCATCTCACAAGATTTTAGAAAAATGAGAGGTCATGTTTGAAATTACTAACAATAACGCTCAAAAAAATATAAATCAAGTTATTGAAACTTGTTAGAATCAATATAAAAGTTGACATATTTAGACTAGTAATCAAAATATAATTCTATCCATATCATTAGGACAATATTTGGAGGCATAAAAAATTGGTGAACGTCGTCATGAAACTGATATAAATGTATAATACATTCCAACATAAGTTGTGGGAAACAAATGATTGAAGTGATTGAAGCTGAAAAGCATAGTTTTTAAGGCCCACATGAAGCTTGTAAAGCCAACATTCCGAAATTATTTGAAAGTAAATCTATCGTTTCGGTAACTACTCAGAGAATAAATGAAAAACATTATCGTGATTAATATGTTCGTATGATATTCCTCTGTACGCAGTATCATTTAACACAGGTTTGGGGTATTCGAACCACTCACCTAAATCAAACTGGCTATGTTTCCAATGATGTATAAATAATTCTTAGATGAGGATTGCGTCAATTAGACATTGATGGTACATTCAAATGAATTCAGATACCCAAGATGGGAATTCCAAAAATGGGAACATAGAATACTTCAACACATTTGCCTTTCCATGAAAAGATTAAGAGTATAAGTTACTTCTTTAGAAATCGTGTAAATTTACACGTCAAGCTGAGAATGTGAAATATGTAAATGTCATGCTGACCACAAAAGCCTGCCACTTTCCAACTAAGAACCTCGGACAATCATTTGTATATCTAGGATGTCTAAAAAAGTGAACCGTACTTCTGCAACTGTGATGCAATGTACACAACTAGGCCTACAAGTTACACAGGAGTTTTCAAGGGAAATGAACGACACAACGCAATGTGAACTCCAGAAGAGTGGATCCACAACCTTCAGAAGAACTACAGCTTCACACTACAGACAAATACTTATCTTCAGAGAGGCATAAACCTTGTGTAAGAATCGCATGCAACAATCATATGGCATATGCAGCCGAAGGTAACATTCATTCCCAGCTCAGTCACTTAGTCGCGACCTGTTTTTTTGGACTCCATGGGCGTTTTAGGTATGCAAATGGTCCAAAAGTTAAGAGGTCATTACCAACTACTAACACCAGCAAATTACACCTCTTTGACCTTCTGAGTGCCATTCACTTCATGCAAAGGACTACCATTCACTGGGGTAGCGACTGAAGTAGCAAGCCTGCTGCTGCTTGACAGCCTCTTCACTCCACTGCTCATCATCCTGCCAGCTCTGACCACTCCGGAACCTACCAAACCCACACCCGAGCCTACAGCTCCAACACCAGTGCCAACCAGCTTCACTCCAGTAGAACCAGCAGTGGAAATTCCTGTCCCCACCAGCTTCACACCTCCTCCCACAGCATCCATAGCTCCTCCAACAACACCACTATTCTTGAGTGCCTCTTTTGCTGCGAGCATTTCCTTCTCACGCAAAATAGCGATCTCCTGCTCCTCCTCGGTATACGGGTGGAATTTCAGCTGCAGCCATTTAAGAAAAACTTCGACTATTAAATAAATGAATTATATTATTCTAAAAAGAAAAACCAATAAATAAACAAATAAACCCAAATACGCAGAGAGAGAGCGAGAAAACGAAATTTGCAATTTTATTTCGAAAGGTGAACATTCAGGAGAACATGCAAGGGCCACATTCATGAAGCATAACCCGAAAGAAAAATCTTCGAACTAAAAAATACCGAGATTGTACGGTTTACGCCATGAAACTTACTTTCACTGTGATGGTCCCGCGATCACCTTTGTCCTTAACTCTCGCAGTGTCCAAAGATTTTAGTACTTTTTGAGTAATCAAAACTTCAGTGTCCGGTACCAACTCATTCAGAGGAATTGAAGCAATTCCCATTTGCTTATCTGATCCAACGTCTTCGTCCATGATCTGTGCGCCAGCATTTAAATATCATAACAAAACGTTCAGAACTTACCAAATACGTTGACATAATATCCTCTAGACAAACATCAAATATACAACGTTCGCTGATAATCAATTCGTAATCAGTTATTATGACCACTTCAAAAATGCATTAAACTGAGTGACTTTTCCGTCCCTTATCCCAAAAACTCCCAAGGTGATCACCCAGATCTGACTAACAAAGAAATAGATCATGCACCCCAACAGGCAGATTCAGTTGCACAAACCTGCAACACGAGAGCCTGTGTTTCGGTATCCTCCACATCAAGCAGGAATTCTTGATTCCATACTGGATTCAGATTGTCCCCAATCGTGGTGGTTTTCTCTTTGAATAGCACTCGTACATACAGTTTAACGTAAGGATCCGACTTTCCAATAGCCTCTTGGTTCTTCAAATTTTCAGCCTTCACAACGGTGACCTTCAACTGGCCTTGGGGCTTTAATCCCAGATCGCTGCAGCCCACCACATTCATGTTAGACCACAATAGCGCGACTTTGAAGTAAAACACTCGTCTCAAAATGTATATGACACCGTCTTACTCAAACGAGGACACAAAAACCTACACATCTTGCAGAAAGTAGTGAAAACATGGCAATTCTCTCCATCTCACACTCTCGTACATGCAAAAGGAGCGGAAAACATCAATGCATCCAAGCACACAGCTTACAAGCAGAAGACCACCTTATAACGTTCGCAGGAGTGTCTCCAACAGGAAGTACAATTCTGTGAGGCCACTCTAACTGATCCGCAATAGAACTCTCCACCATATCCTTCACACCAAGACAGAAACAGAAATTCAAACACCATCAACAACCACCGCATGCTCCTCATAGCATTGCAAATGACCTTCAAAAAATGACTTTCACCAATAACCATGAAATCCAAGGAACAATCCGAGCAGACTTTAACTATGCGTAGATGTCACCGCACCAGACTTAATCTTCCCAAATAAACTGATTGGTTCAGGTATCAACCTCAATCATGTCGCTTAGGCCAGGGAGGTTGTTGTTGAATCCTCCAAGAACATTTAGTTTATAACTAACTTGAAACTTTGGCTGCAGCCACAGAACGCAATAAGTTGTTGCATTAAATGCAGTAAAAGTCATTCAATCCCATACAACCGCTAGCTTGGTACTTCTCCAAGTGACAATGAACTACTCCAAACTATAGAGAACTAAACCAAGCCATCGTTGACAAAAAAAATGCACAGAACTAGAATTGTTGCAATCGTTTCAAATCCCCACTGTAAAATTACCTTAGAAAGAAGAGCGACAACTAGAGCGGAGATGCACGGAATTTCTTCTGATAGTTGAAAGATGACACGAATAGTTGCGAAGAAGGACAGGTTTTTTAACTGCAATTTAACAAGCACGAAACTTTAGTCTCTGAGTTGGTGCAAGAATACTTGTGACAGTTCTCCAATCACATGGTCATCTCAGTACAGCGACGGAATCGATCACGAATGTATCAGCACGGCTGAAACAACAGTAACATCACAACGTAGCTGCAGTACCAAAACCCTCATTCTTCCACATTCTGGCCTTAGTTAATAATCCTTATATGCTTCTTTTCATTACTAGTATTGATATGTAGAAGACCGCAGTAAGGGTTGTATAGTCCAGTTGAGCAACCTGAACGGGCAATTTGGAGCCCATGAAACCAATGTTGAGTACGATATCACCAGTGCCAGCCCACTTGAAATCCATATCCATGTGCACTTGACCCTTGACCAACCTCTGTATTCTAATCCCTGCAAACCATAGGACATTATCATTTTAGACAATACCCAGTAAATCCAGATTACTGGAAAAACTATCGCAAATAAGCAACCATACACAGTAGTGACGCTACCATCTATTTGGGGAGGTGTTTTCCCAAGTTGAAACTTATCCAATGTGAGCGCCGAAATCCCGGTAGGCTTGTAAGATTCTAACACTGGAGCAAGCTTCATTTTTACCATATCTTCGGTGGCCTGCACGCGCAACCATGACAATGCCTCCTCGTCATGAGAGGTGACTTTCGAGAACCGATGTATTGCGTAAAGCCGATCAAGAACATTCGTAAGTATCTTGACAAAATACAATAATTCATAAAAGAGAAAATAATTGTCAAATCAGAATTGTTCGGATACACTGCGTATGAATGCAGGGGTATGTAAATACCGTTAATATTGACGGCCAGAACTTCTCCAACATAGAGTTCAACCAGTTCACCTGTGAAAACACAATTCGACTGAACAATGTAAGGTACAAAACTAAACACTTCCACGAAGCCCTCCTATTCAAATGATGACTATGACACTTAAACCAGTCGCATCAGAAATAGCAGTATTCACATCAGGAAGAGAAAGCAAAATGAAGGCACCAGTTACGGAAGCTGGAGTAAGGTCCGTACCTTTTCGTAGGTGGTGAATGAGACGTGGTTAGGATAACTATCAGAACAAAGCTTCTTGAGTTCCACTTCATCTATGAGGTTGAATAGCTCAATCGCAGCAACCTGGACACCGGAACCCAACTAGGAATCAAAAGCCACTTCGACTTCCAAAACTATCCCCACCAAAGATTTCAAGAGCCTCAACCTTGAACGCATCACATTGAAGCACTCAATGTTACAATCGCCCAAGTCTGGCGAAATGAGTTTTCGACTCAATGAGATGCATTCCACCACCACCTGTGTCTCACTAGGCTAACTACTGAACCTCCGCCCACCCAAATACGGCTATATAAGCATCACACGATGGCTGTGACTAGACGACCAATCTCCACATTGAAGTTCATTATTAGCTTCACATAGCGGCCGTTCTAACATTTCTACTCATAACAAATAGGAATTCTCATAGCAACAGAAGCACGAAAAATGAGACAGACTTTCGACAAGATGTAGGGCACTGAGAGGTGAAACCTTCTTTGTTCTCTTCCTGCTCCGTCTGTCCATCATAACTTTTAACCCACAGATGAGTGCGACCCCAACCAGCCATCCGAAAATAAGCCCAACGAGCACCATGTTTCTTCACCTCTTGCCTGCTTAAATTCAAGAATACACGTCCTTGATAGCAGCAACAGAAGATGTTCAGCGCCTTCACTTTGTCACAACCAGATCAGGTGCCTCTCCTACCTGCTTCAATTTCGATTCTACAGCTAACAGAAAAGGCTAACTTCCCCTCACAAACTCCTTACACAAATATTCATTAAACAGTTGCGATGGATCCAGAAAGCATTCTTAGTTGCAAATCTGCTTCATGACTATCGAAACGCTTAAATCATCTGGTATACACGGGTAAGCAACACCTCATGTACATGGCCCTTCGCTCCAGAAGAGAGATCTTAACAGAAGAAGCCTTCTTTGATGGCCAGACAAAAAGGGAACCAAAAAAGAGAGTGGAGGATATCCTAAGCTCGTAACTGAGACAAACATTGTCCACTCAATATTACAAGAACAGACAACTGCGATACCTAGAAACTACACTTCCTGTTCCCTTTCAAGAATTGCAAACGCTCCCCAAATTGAGCTCACCCCCTGCAAAAAAAGTCGACCAGCGACGCTCCCGACTGCAACCAGCTCAAAACATGCACCATCAGCTCATGACTTGGCAACTACCCGCCACCCTCGGAACGCAGGGCACTCCGCCAGGACCTTTCACATCAACACGATGCGGCGCGTTCCAGCTCTACCGCGCTCATACACATCATACGAAACTGAGAGATCTAAAATCTCACCCAGACGCCCACTGCGAAGGAGGAAAACAAAAGGAAAAAATAAAATACGACAAAATCAGGGGCATATAGTGTGCCACCTCTCCGAAACTCAGCCCCCAGTGCTCCAAGCCCTATCTACGGCACGAATGAGATTTTCGGGCACATACCTCGAGGTTGATCAGGACATATAGCTACAGCAGACACAAAGAGCACACCCAGAGCGAGGGGAGGGGGAGGGGGGTAGGGGTTCTAACGGGGCGCCGTCCCCCAACGCGCTTCTTCTCACCCAAACCGCATCAGGGCAGCGCGGGGGCAGGAGAACAGTTGGGCCGAAACAACGCCTTGCGCGCACAAAACCAAATCTCGCACACACGTAATTGCAACACACTCCCGCGTTGAGCACGATGTGTGAGACAAATCTAATCCATCCCGCACGCACCTCCATCCACCTCACTCACTCCCGGCCTCGTAGAATCATGTCGAAGAAACCTCCTTGTTCAATCGACTTGCTACGCCATCGTGGGCCGTCGGATTGCAGGTGCGGCTCAGATGCAACCTCAACCGCCGATGAGATTTATGAGAACGGAGGGAGGGAACGTAAGGGAACCAGGGGGGGCATGCAGATTGGAGGTCGGGCAGTATGGAGGGCGGTAGATTGGGATCTCAGAAGTCATTCCTCATTGGGCCCGCACTGGGTCCACATTCACATTCATGGGTGCTGAATTTTGTTCAGGGGCTGCCACTCAATCCCACTTTTCAACCATCCCTCTTGATTCAAACAATTATTTTTTGTAGTCATACACAATACATGATAGTTATCTTTTTAGGAAGAATTCTTGCAACTCGTAAAAAAATTAGGTAGTATTGCATTTTTTTATTAAATATGTATATATAACTAAATTTAAAAAATAAGAATGATTTTTAAAAAATTACACTGCATTAACATACAACATAATGATCCAAAAAAATGAAAAAAAACTTAAACAGAATTATTTAGATAATTTTTAAAAATATATAACATATGACCTTTCAATAAGAAATAATAATTTAAATTAATGGGGTTTTAGTTTTATGACAAAAAAATAGTACAACTTTAAAATAGTAGTCTTAATACTTTAGTAATGCACAAAACATCGTAGTTTTGAGTTGTATATATATATATATATAAACACACACATATAATGATTATAGATCTAATGTAACTCAATCAAATTCTACTGTCTCATTTTTACCAAAAATAACTATATTATTAAATCAAATTTATATGAGAGTATATAAAAGAGGTGATTTAAAGCAAAAAAACACTTTACGCACAATAAACTTTATTTCTAAGAATAAATAAAAAAATATTAAATAAAGATTATATGTTAGATAATTAACCAGTTCACTGATTATTTAATCTTGTAAATTTTTCTTTAGTCTTATCATGACTAATGTTCACTGTTCATTAGAAGTATAAGCTCAAATTAAAATAGCATTCCAAATAGTTGCAATAGAACTCTTCCTAAAAAATTTAAGATCAAATCCGTATTAAGCATTGGAAATTAAAAAAAGATCTAAGTTACAAACTTGTTTTGTAGCATTTTAAGGCACTGTATAACATTAAAGATAATAAGATCAAATAATGGTATAAACATACATACACATAAAAAAATTAGGTTCAATTTTTTTAATAAAAATATTGTATTTAAATTAAAATACATAATATATTTACAGTAGTAAAATAGATGAAAAGCATAAAACAAAAATATACTGAAAAATCAATAGTTTAGTGATACACATTGATTAGAATAATATTATTAAAATAGTAATTAATAAATTTAATTTTATTGTAAGTTTAAAATTTAAAAATATCATATTTAATTATTTAATGATATGTATATATAATAGTGTACATAATGTTAGCCTATTTAAGTATTTTAGTTTTCACAATTAATAATATTAATCAAATTAAAAATTTCAAATAATCAATTGATTAACTATCGAAGTAAAAAAACATATTAAGCAGCTATATATGTATAGAAATTTAATAGTGCTAGAAGCACCTTCATACATTTACAAAAATAATAAGTTCATTAAGATAATGTGCAAAAATTACTAATTCAAAATTATATTTTGTAATAAATAAATAAATAAAACCAAAAATATACATTGTAAAAAATATTAAAAAATAAAAAATGTATATCCTTCAATTTACATATTTTAAAATATTTACATTGAGGAACTCAGAAGCCATTCCTCATTCATATTTAAAAATATTTACATATACACTGAATCCATATTCAGGAATGACTTCTGAGTTCCCAACCAACCGCCCACCATGCTGCCCGGCCTCGAACCTGCCCGCCCCTGGTTCCCCTACGTTCCCTCCCTCCGTTCCCAGATATATAATCGGCAGATGAGATTGCATCTGAGCCGCAGCTGCGATCCCAGCTCCGTCGTCACCCTTCCTCCCTTTTCCATCCCGCCCATGCCCCCCCTCCTCCGCCCGTCCCCGCCCATGCCCCCTCCCCTCCTCCGCCTGTCCTCGCCCATGCCCCCCGTGTCCCTCCTGCCCGAAAATTCTGTAACGGGCGGGCACTACCTCCTCACCCACCTTCTCTCTCCCGTTCCCTGTGCGTCCCATCAGGCTGGCCAAGTCCCTCTCCGACCCCCGCGATTCGGCGCTGGAGCACGGCCTTGGGTGCTGCTTCAGCTGCAAGGCGTTTTCAAATATCCAGGCTGCCTCGGAAAGGGGAGAGGTGAACTCCAGGATTTGAACCTCCTGCTCCTCCTGCCCCCCCAATTCCGAGGCAACAGGGGGAGAGAGAGCGAGAGTGAGTGCCTGTCTGTCTGTCTGAACGAGTGAGTGTGTGTGTGTGTGTAAGTGGACAACTGCAGACTTGATTGGCAGCTGCCGAGAAGGGAGGGAGTGCATGTAGGGTGAATTCGTTTCCCTCTCACTTTCTTTCTTCTTCTTCTTTATTATTTATTTTTATTATTATTGTTATTTTTAGGCATCTGTTGTCAAACTTCACCCTGAGAAGATTCATTTTGCCTTATTCTTCCAACTTTCCAACTTCTTTCTGTCTGAGGAACCAATGTTGTAGCGATTACATTACCCGCAAATCCATTTGACCAAATTTTGTTTTTCATATATATGGATATATCCATCCAGCCAGCCTGCCAGCCAGCCATTCATGTGTGAGAGATGCTCCCCATGTTGCTACAAAGTGCTTTACCAACCTATCCAATTTCAAACCTCTGTTTAATACAGCTCCTTTCATACCTGTACAAAAATTCCTTTTTAAAAACTATATATATATATATATATATATGCATCCATATACAATTATGATTCTTTTGACAGATATCATATATAAATATGTGTATGTATGTGCACACACACTCATATGATGTGAGTTTTCAAAACACATTGGTGTTCTTGACAATCTAACTGACATGTATGAATAAATATTTAAACCTAAATATTTGAAAGTAAGTGTAATTTCTTTATTAGGTGAAAAAATATAAAATAATAATAAAAATTTGTTTTGTTTTTGTTTCTCTTCTTATACATAGTTAGAATGGATACTTTGTGCATACTTTGTGAGGATATATTTTTTGTAGTGCATTTTTTTGGGTGCAACCTATTATCATTTGGTACATTAATATCATTCTATACCGCTATACAAAATGTGTTTGTTGAATAAATTTAAGGTCTTCTTTATAGAAGAACAAGCACTTTGAAGTCACAACACTTAGGATCAGCAAGGTTGTATACAAAAGAAAGTATGGAGTAAGATGACTCTTACTTCCAATACTTCTTACTTATATGTGGTAGTTGCCAAGTAACGAGGCAACTTCCATTAACGTTACATCCATTTCTACTTCATCCAACTAAACCTTAAGTTCTTTCTTAACCTAGCTACCACCTACAAATCCTACAAGCCACTATAATAACTTCCTTAAACTCTTTTGTCTCTTTTTAATCACTAGCAACTTACCTAAAGTAATACCTTTTACTTAGTGACTTACTTCAATACTCCCACTTTGCTATTAATCAAAGGGCTTTCAATCCTAATGTCTATGTCAACATGTGGTGTCTATCCTTTACTAATACCTTTGACAACAAATCAGCAAGCATGTCTTCCATTGCAAAATACTTCATATCAATCACTCCCATTTCAATCTTCTCTCTTATGAAATGATATTGAATGTTAATGTGTTTTGTCCTTGAATGATACTTGAGATTCTTTGCAAATGCAAGACATCTTTGATTGTCACACTCCATTGGAGTTGCTTTCATTTGCACATCTCCTTGTAATTGACCTTCAACTTCAGTAAATTCTTCATTTGTGAGCTTCATCAACTTCGAATTGGCCTCTAAAGGTGTTCCAATAGGCTTATACTCCTCCATATTGAATCGTTTCAACACCTCTTGAATATACTTGCTTTGGCTCATTGTAATGGTCTTCTTCGCACGATCTCTTACAAACTCCACTCTATAACAACACTAAAGCTCTCCCAAATCACTCATCTCATATTTTTTTTTTAACTTTGTCTTCAACCAATCCATCATCTTCATAATATTGGTTAAGATAATTAGATCATCAACACATAAGATGAGAATCAATATAAACTGATTTGATTGCATCACATACAATGAATGATTAGCTTCACTCCTTATAAATCCTTCAGTCACAAAGAAAGTATCAATGTATTGATACCATGCCTTTGGAGATTGTTTGAGTCCATATAAGGATTTCTTCAACTTACAAAGAAGATCTTTCTTGCGATCTTTAACAAATCCTTGAGGTTGATCCATGTAGATGTCTTCTTTCAAACTTCCATTGAAGAATGTCATCTTTACATCCATTTGATGCATCTCCAAGTCTATTGCTACCCCATTGCTACAATGGATCTAATGGTGGTGAACTTCGCCACATGAGCAAATGTCTCATTAAAATCAACACCAATAACTTGTGAGTAGCCTTTGATATCTAATCTAGCCTTATATCCCACAGTATTGTCCATTGCATCCCTTTTGGTTCTAAATACACACTTACAACCAATAAAAGATCGATTTGGTAGAATTAGTGTCAATTCCCGCATTCTATTGTCCATGAGTAATTTGTATTCTTCTTCCAGAGCATTCTTCCACTTCATAGCATCCGTAGACTTCATTACATCACACATATTCAATGGATCAGCAAGAAGAGCAACATTGGCATGTTCTTCACTTACTTGAGGAAATATGTTGTCCTTCTACTATTCACCACATGGTTTTCTTTTTCTCAAAGGATATCTTCTTTCATTTGAAGAGGCTTCATCTTCTTGCACTTCATGCTCTCTTCCAAGCTTCTTCTTTCTTAAAGCTTGTCTTTTCTCGCTGAAAGGTTGATACTCCTCATCATCATCATTATCATCAATATCTTCATTGTATTCATTATTGGTTCTAACAATTGAAGGCAGACTAAGGCCTA